CGTTTCAAAATATAGTTCAATTATAACAGAAAGCCTGCAATGTCGAAATCGGAGATACGTGGTTTAGCACTTTGGCCGTCAATATAGCGATGGAAAAACAAGGAGGTGATATTTGGTGTTGCAAACTTTTCGAGGAACTGACCTGAGACTAGCAGCCGGGTCATGAGGTGCGTCTTCGCAAAGAAATCCACGAAAACCTGGCTCATGATGGCGCACCAAACTTGGAACACCCGCACTGGAAACACACACGCTGAGCGCTGAAAGCCAACTGGAAAGCTGAAACGCAAAGTTCCAGTATCGCGATAACCGTTATCGGGCTCAATGTCGTCTCTCTCTCGACTTTTGACACCGGCGATCCCAAACGGCCTTTGAAAAACCAGGATTCCCGCCTCTCAAATGCCGTGCTGAGCGAGTTGGCCGTAAACGCTTTCAAACATCCACAAATATCTCCCGATAAGCTATTTATTTTCCAGAAAAATAAAAAAGATTTTCCATCGATATTCTCAGACGCGTTACAGTAAATTTTTGACGAAATCCTCTGAAAATGTGCAGGTGAAAAAAAGAATTTTCTCCTAACAAAATTGCGTGTAATGTAAATAAACTTGGCAACGTTCCAATTATCATACGTCGTTTTTCCTAAAGCTAAAAGCTTGAACATCAGGATTTTAGCGGTTAAGGCAACACTGCGGAGGGGTGTGATCATCTCACTCTTGACCATTCTCGCTGTGGTCTCTGTCTCTCTTTATTATTTTTTGAGGGGTGTCGATAATGCGACTCTATCTCCCCCCTCCCCCTTTCTCCGTCTATCTCTTTTTCAATCTCGTTGGAAACTTTCGCGAGATGCCTTTATCTCTTGTTTGTTGCCATTCACAGGATGTTCTAGTGGACGAGGGAACTGATTGAAATGCGGGACTTTCTCACTGTTAGCTAAACTCAGAATAATCAGAGCGGTCTGATTCAAATATCGATGTTTCCCGTTTGAAGCTATGGTAAAGCATCGATCATTAAGATGTTCGCTGCAAATACCCTGTTTATCGATTCTGTCCCAGAGGTTTAAATGGCAGCTCAATCGATATGTCGCAAAATAACCAACGCCTCTGGTCTGATTTTCATCACGTTGCGTCCCAACCTTGCGTGTTAGCACCTTTCGTTCTGTTCGTGTCACTTCTCGTTGGCCTCGGCTGGAAAAATTTGGAAAACGTTGAGCTTTCGGTTAAATTAAATGAACGGATTTATGCTGAATGGAACTATGTGCAAGTGGAAAGATGAGGTGTGTTCGTTAGTGGTCGGGCCTAAAGAATGAATGGGAATTTAAAAGCGCCAGTGACGTCATAGTGCGGTTGCTTAGCTCAAAAATGCACGATGATACGCGGTTTCCGGCTACCAACATGATTTTGGTCTTAAAATGACCGTTAGACCCTCCTGATTCAGAAACCATCGGGAGCCACCCGCGCTAACCCCGCCCCCCCCTTTTGGCCGCCATCTTGGAAAATGGTGGCTAAGATCGGGGTTTTTCAAAATATATCGAGAACGGCGGCAGATATCGAAAAATTTTCTTAGTAAAAAAAGATTCAGCGTGAAAAATCTATAATTATCTTTCAAGAAATTCCCATCTTGTTATACCTTAACCGGATAAACCTCTATATTTGCCTCAGCTAAAGGCTCTTAGATTTTTCCTGTGTGCGATAAGTATCTTGATTTATTTTCCCAGGAAAGATCTGTACTTTTAAAGGATGCCTGTCATTCTTCATACGTTCAATTTCGTATAATACTGTGCAACGTCTCTGTTGTGAAATAGTTGCTTCAGGCGCCGCCGCACGGCGCCGGCGGGCGGGCGGCCAACGCGAAACGCGCATTGGCGCCTACAAACCTAAGTGGATACTTCAAGCATTGTGCAATGCGTGAAGTATCCACTTAGGTTTGTAGGCGCCAGTGAGCCTCTCGCGCTGACAGCACGCCGCTCCGCTCTGTTCGGCTTTAATATTTATACACGCATGGTCAGTGTTTTTTAACTCATGATTTTGAAATGTTTGCACACTCTGCATTGATTATTCTCATTTAAATTGATGGGAAAAAATATGTTTCAATTTATCAAAGGAGAATAATAATATAGTTTACATTGTTTCTTATGCAGCTTCCACGAGCACACCCCATTTTTCCACCTGCTTAAAGTTCTTTTTACCATGAATACGTCCAAATCAAATTAAATGAAATGGCAATAGTAAGGGAAAGGTCTTTTCTACCTCATTAGGTAGGAAAAAGCGAACGATGATAATAATTCTACCTTACGTAGGGATCACTTCGCACGAACATTCAGGCATCACCGAATTGTTTCTCATGGAAAAACGTGGTTTTGTTTAGACTGATAAAATCTTGTCTTTGAATTTTTTTCAGAGCTTTTCCAAAAATTTAATCCAGTGAATCTAAAAGTTTCAAAGAAAAATATTCCTTCCTTTCCTTGAGGGTAAATTTTGGCAACTTTCAAATTCTCGAACGGCAATTTCCCTCGGTGTTCATAGTAACGCCTTGGTGCAACTATTCAAGCTTACTGGATGCGCGCGTTGCATATACAGTGAAAATCAAGGCGTTCAACATATTTTTCCCGAGTTGGAGTACGTCATTCTTCGCTGATGGGATGTTCCGTGCTTGCAAAAGAAGCGCAAAATAACCGACGTTCAACGGTGGTGGCTTCAGCACCCTCCCAATCCATCAGAGGTTTGCATTTATTTGGTAATCAGCTAGGCCGCCGGTGGACATCGACCAATCGCCTTTTTAGAAGTTAAATCCCTCAGATCCCTCCTATGTTGTCTTTTATGTCGATTATTGAGTGAGGTATTCCGTTGGTGAATGCTACAGTGGATGTAGCGAGGCAATTATCGATACCTGACCGCTGCTTCTGATCACTGATCGATGGTAAAAAATGCATTGATGCTGCAGCCACTCGTTGTGGCGTCAGTACAGAGAGATCATGATTATTCGATTAATTTATTTCAAAAATGAAAAAAGAAGGCAAGAACTGAGGTTCATTAATTATTTTTCTACTTNGGGGGGGGGGGGCATTACCAAATATTTAAGAGGTGTAGACCTGCTTTACGAGTGCGTCACCATGGGGTAGAAAAATCCGATTTGTAAAGTCAAGTACATTGTTAAAACATTTGGAGTGAAATCCTGTGCCGGCGGCTATAAAGTGCACAAAAACCCCGATTGATGTGAATGCGGAATCTACTTTCCTTACGGAGTGACTCACACACTACAACAGAGCGGAATCTACTATTTTTGCAGGGTGGCATACACTTTTGTAGTGCCATTTTCAATTCGCATTCATAGCACTCGAAACTCGGGGTTTCCGGGTGATGTGTAGACTCTTGCACCGAATTTCACTTCTCGATTTTTAATAGAGTGTTTCATGAGCAGCCTTTCGGGCCTCTTTTTCTACGGACAAGTAGACTTTGAAATGTAGAACTCGCTCCGTAGAAGCACCCTCTATCTGAATGGCATAGCGCAGAAGCGGATTTACGCAATTCTTATCGCGTGTAGCGGGAGCCAGCCCAATTTTTCCTGAGCCACTGTTACATGTCCATGCTCATTGCATCATCGGGCGGTCTTTTTATTTTTTCGCGGGGCCTTTGTCGGTAAGACTCCGGCCGCTGATCTGAGTCTCACGACCGCGGAACGTGTCTGAACTTCACGTTGCCAGATTGGTCAATAACTACCAGGTTTTAATTTTTTGTTTTAAAAACAAACAAAAAATCACTGACTGACCATGCAACTTTTATCGCTTATTCCTTGTTTGCCTGTGCATTGTATCGATGGCTAAACTGCGAAACCACGTATCTCTGTTTGCGACGCAGCAGCCCTTCTGCCATACTTTATTTTTTCTCCGGAACTGGACAATGTAATTTTTTGAAAACTTCCTTGATTTTGCTTCTTTGTTAACGGAATATTTAATATGACTTAAGCTTCAAAGTTGCTTTGTTCTTTTCAAAAAAATAAAACAGGAGCGGAGATTTTGAAACATTGCAATGGAGATACGTGGTTTAGCGCTACGGCCATCAATATGCTTAGCTGTTTCATTGCGCTTATCGCTGTATAATTAGCTGCCCTGGTGATGATCCAGGAGGGTCGAAAAGCTGCGATTGAATACCATGATTTTTATTTAATAGACCAAATATTTTTAATTTTCATAGCTTCAGCTTTTTGTAAAATATCTAATTTGTAGGCAGAACACACAACGTCAGTCTCCATTTTTCGTGGTCAGATCTAGTCATAGACACAAAATCTACTTTAAAAAAAAAAAAATTGCCGAGAGTTATCTTGAATGCAAAATTAATCACAAAGATCATCACCCTCATTGTAATTGACGAACAACGTCGAGAGATTTGAGTAATTAAACTTTTTTTGGCGATGAATATCTTAGCGACTCATTAATACAGTATTTATCAGTCATCGGGAAGTGATAAAGACAAGTAAACTCCCTATGAGTTTAGGTTAAAGGGTCCCTTAAATTATTATATTTAGTTTGCTTACTATGAAATGGGTCTGAAAAAGGTCTTATAGCTAGAGTGACTGCGCTTTCCTTATGCAAAAACCTTAGTAGCGCTGATCGGTCTTAAATTGGATGTTTTCAAAATTGCGTTATTCTCCGTCACTCAATGTTAAATGAGGTAAATCGGATCAGACATCCCGAAAATGCAAATTTTTTTGCAAAAATTGCAAATACTTGCACTGAAATAAGGTGATTTTCCTCTGGGTACACTCAAAAAACAAGTATGGGAAGAGTGACTTACCGGCCGAGTTATGGATCATGGAGCCATAAAATATAGTTCGTTTAGCCATGCTTATAGGTTCACGACCAATAAAGTATGGCTCAGAAAGCCATACTGTAGACGGTAAGTCACTTTGGTTAGAAATTATGGAACTCCGAGCCATTTTTTATGGGTCTCAGAGTCATACCTTTTTTTGAGTGTAGGAAGAGGAAACATACAAAATAATTGGAACCGTTTCAGAAAATTAGGTTGATTTAAAACCAAGTAAAAAACAATTATGTAATGAAAAATATTATGTACAAATATCAACAGATCGTTATTTACAACTAATAAATAGGTTGAAAGGGATCCTGTTATTTTTGCAAAGATGAAGGATCCCTAAAATCAGGAGCAAAAAGTGGAAGTCCTCATTGTAAGTCATGAGTTAAAATGTACATTCCTTCGTGAAGAGGTTTGGATATTCTTCATCAAATAGTACACGCCGATGACCAAGAAATATCCAGCGCAAAATTCGAACTGAAAAAAAAAAAATATACTTGTCATTCGGTTATTCAAATTATCATCAAATTAACAAAATTATCATCAACCGCGAATTATCATCAATCCATACGCAGAGTATTTACCTACATAATTTTGAGGCATGCCAATCGGTAATATAGGTAGTGTTGAGAAAAAAGGACGTGATATGTATCTAGAAATTCCCAACCTGTCTATGAAATATTCTATCAAAATTTCATCAGTAAATAAATGTCTGCGTATCACAGAGACATGACGTCACTTTGGCTGACATATTCGATCATAAAACTGTGCCCTTATGCTTTGTAATTTTTTAATAACTTACAAACTTAAGAGAGAATCACCAAGAGTCAACGTTGTGCTCAGGAACTGTGAAGTCACAGATAATACAAATATTTTGAGCTAAAAGATTTGTAGATAGAAAATGTTCATCTTGGTCAGTTTCCTTGTGTACTGGCAAATAACATTCGTTTCATAAAAACACCGAGCAGGAATTTAAAGCAAGCAGTGCTGAAACGTCAAAAAGAAAACACTTTTCAACCGCATTTTATGAATGAAAATATAAAACGCACCTGTCTTTTGATGTTGAATGTAAAGAAAGTATCCTCGACAATGATCACAGTCCAAAATGTTGTAACAGCTAAGTTAACGAACATGATGAATCCAAAAACTAAACCATAGCAAGATTCTTTGATTTGTTTTGCGATCTCGAACCTAAGAGGAAAGACAGTTTTAAGATGTTATTGGTTATGGTATGCAGGGGAAATTTGTTTCAATGCATATAAATTTATTTTTAACAAAAAGGGGAACTCTTTTGGTGGGAGGAGGGAGAGGATTAATTTTACATCATGTACAACAACTGAACGTATAAAAGTGCATTAAATAGACAGGAAATATGCGCATAGGATATGCATGCTTCAGCTTCTTACTTCCTTTGCTAATCATTCATTTGAACATCCTTTCAACATAAATTCGTCCAATCTCCTTTCAGAACAAGAGAATTTGAAATCATAGAGTTCTTACTCTGCAACTGTGAGCATAGTGTGATACGTCAATGTGAGGATAATATGACAAACGTAGAGAAGGTATATGTTCTTCAGTTGGCTCGTCAATAAGACAACGGCTCCTAAGCTTATGGACCCGATAGCCAAGAGTGCATTGCTGTGGTTGGTCCATTCAACATTCAGCTGACCCACTTTATAGGAGGCTACAGCACCTAAAAATACAAAAGTTGCTTTCAGTTCTTAAAAACAAAACGGAAAAACTGCACGATAAAAATAAAAAATTACAGTAGGTATTTCTCGATTCAGAGGACTGAACCTTTGGTTCCGCGAACCGACCTACATGGTTGACGGAACCAAAGTTCAGTTCGGTGAGCGAAGGTTCAGTTTTATGAATCAATCGTTGATGAAAATTTGTGTCAGAGAAGATTCAGAAGAAAAGATGAAGAGATTGACAAATTGGAAGCTATCTTCAGCACCATTACATAATAACAAGTTTTAAAAATTGCATGTTACATTGTTGGCGAAGGCAAAAAAAGCTGTTTCACATAGATGTTAAAAAAAAGAGAGAGAAAAAAAATTAAGTTGCTTTGACTCCAAGATACGGAATTAGGCTCACATTTTCAAAATTATAAAAACTTTCCAAAGTAAGTTCCAAACGCAACCTAGCGTTATGCATACATTCGAGGATAAAACGCTCTCTAATTAAAGTTTTGCTAGCACGTATCATAGAGGCACAAAATACTGTGCATGTCATCAGAAGAAAACTAGAAGAAACTGGATGAATTCTTACTCAGAAATACTTTTTTATTCTATTTGAATAAACCAACACTGATATTTGAGAGTCCATCTGTTTTGCTGAACACCTCCTTGATTCTAGCAAGGTACTTATACTCCTTTTTTAAACCGCTATTTAATTAGTTTAAGGTCAGAGGTAATCACTTTAGAAAAGAACACAGAGCCTTTCCTCGATTAAAATAATTGTCCTCTTATCTTATTTTCGCACTCCTTCAAAGCGTTCTAAAACTGGGTCGAGTCGATCGAAAAATTCACTTTTTGCTAAAGCGTGCTGCTGAACAAGGTGAATCGACAAGCGGATGGAGAGATAATTGCCGTAATAATGCTAACAAATCAGGAAATATATACTACCTTGCAGGACTTACTCAGTGCAGTGTAGACACAATCCACCACTCCGTTCATCGACTCCATATTCGGATAATTTTGCTCGATCGCCTCTTTCCAAATGAGCTGGCTGTAGTAGAGAACCTACCGAAAAGAGGAGAATTTAAAACACTTAAAAAAATTGGCCAGAGTTTTTTGAACATTGGTGGGCTTGGAGGACAAGGCGCATAAGTGCAGTTTTTTAAAAAAAATGAGATATTAATGCTTTCCAGTAAAACTAGTCTAAATTATATGAAAAATTCCCTCCCAAATTCTAATTTTTCAGCATCAAAGAGTCAATTTGAACTCTTTTTTCGCCATAAAGGATCCATGAAATTTCGAAACTCCAATCACGTATTTCTTGAAATAGAAAAAATTGCACTTATGCTCTTAGCCTTTCAAGCCCCACAGTTGAGAGTGAACGTGTAAGAGCATATTGAGACCCAATCTCAAACTTCATAGAATGCATAAAACTGCATTAAATAAAAGGTACAAAAGACAAAAATAAAATAATCAAAAATATATGATATCAACGACGTTTAAGGTAGGTGCGAACTGCGGATTTCCGTTAAAATATGAGAAATCAGCGATGTTTCATTCCGGTGTTTTGTACTTTTGGCCGAGGCAAATCATTGTCATCCTTAGAAAAATGTATTTCCAAACTTTTTTTAGTTTTACTCAAAGCTCCTGAAAACGGTGTCTTTCCCTAATGCTTATGAAAGGCGTCTGTAAAGTTCCCTCGACCACAATGCATACTTTGTGGGACCAACTTAAGGTTAAAAACTGTTTAAGGAACGATTATGTATATGACTCTTATAGCCCTCGATCCGCGTAAACCGTTGTATCTCAAACAGGTGTGTCCCAGAGGATGCGACTTGTTCAACGTGTAGGAGATAATTTGCCTAATCCTCAAAATAAAGGCGAATCTTTGGGTCATGGAAGAAGTATCGCCTTCGATGAAATGAGTGGGCAGAAAATTAGGCATTGAGCTTGGAACTAATCCTATTCCAATTTGATCGCAATGAGCTGTGTTTGAACGAGAGTTTTCAGTTCATACTTTAACACCCTCAGAGTTCGGCACGGAAAATGAATCCATCAAATGGTCTCAGCTCTGAAAGAGGACTAATTGATTAATCACATGATTAATGAGCAGTGGCCTGGCGTATGCTTTGCGATACTTCGATTGACCTGCAATTTAAATCTACGGAAAAGGATCAATCGATAAGGTGCTCGAAATTAACACCTTAACTATCAATTTTTTACCATCGAAAAGGATCGATAAACAAGCTGCTCGAAATTAACACCTTAATTGTCAATTCTTTACCATCGCCTCAAATGGGGAAATATCGATAATTGGACTACATTTTGCAATTTGGAACTATAAATTCTAGCCCGGTTTAAAAACAACGTATGTGCCGTTAGTTTCCCTATGCATATAAGTGTTTTTCCAGAAGAGCCAGAATTTATAGTTCCAAATTGCAAAATGCAGTCCAATTGATCATTCACGTCTCGCCGTTGTTATCAAGTCGCTCAGAGTGCCTAACATGCGGACAAATGGACGGAACACAAAAACTGACCATTTAAACTGAGCTATGTCTGGGAAATGAAATGAAATTAAAATTAAATTTGGTGTCAAGAAGCTTCCCTTTTAAATCAAGAATAAATTCACTTGACTCAGACAGGTTTATACTTGACACAAGCAACTTTCTTCCGCATGATGGCAATTTTTTTTTCTAGATTCAAGAGGTGTGGGTCAGTTACGCTATTCATAAAATCGTGTTTTGATGGGCTAAGCTTGTAAATTAGCTATACATCCTATGATGTTTCCGTACAACCTTACAATTGGCGAGATTCTGAGTTCAATATTACAGGAGAAATCGCCTGGCGAAAATCACAGAATTTTTTTCAGATATTATTCACCGCGTTAGTGTAAATGCAGTTTCTCTCACCTTAGACTCATCATTAAGAGATCATTAACTCGGATGAATTCTAGGCGGTGTGAACCACGGTGTGCATCACCACGGTATCGCGACATAAGGCGTGTTTTTTGAGGGGCGGTATCTCTGTTCATATTGGATATTTTTCAAATGTTCTTTTAAATGTATTCTATCATGGTAGATCACGACTCGTATTTAAAGAAATAACGAGGATACTGGTTTATTTGATACTTTTAAGAGACACGAATATACAGTTGCGAGCTACGTCAAATTGTTGTCACCAGTCAAAAACGCCTCCAACCTCGCAAGATACTTCACCGCTCACACCAGAGTTAAAATATTTGTATCATAGATTTCTGTACAGAATCCTCCGCTTTACGAACATTTATGAAGTATATTGTTACGTCAAGCTGTTGTCACCAGCTGAAAATGCCTTCAACTGCGCATGATACGTCACCGCTCACACTAGAGTTAAAATATTTGTATCATAGATTTCTGTACAGAATCCTCCACTTTTCGAACATTTATGAAGTATATTGTTACGTCAAATTGTTGTCATCAGTCAAAAACGCCTTCAACCTCGCAAGACACTACACCGCTCACACCAGAGTTAAAATATTTGTATCATAGATTTCTGTACAGAATCCTTCGCTTTTCGAACATTTATGAAGTATATTGTTACGTCAAGCTGTTGTCACGTGCTGAAAATGCCTTCAACTGTGCATGATACGTCACCGCTCACACTAGAGTTAAAATATTTGTATCATAAATATGTTGACAGAATCCTCTACTCTTTGAATATTCGTGAAGTGTATGTATTGTCTCTTATTTAGTCAGAAAACCCTTTAAGGAAACTGATAGTATTATTTATATGTGACTAATTGGCAAATTGAAACAAACTCAACCGCCAGGCAAGACATTAAGGTGAGACATCACAATTTTCCTCTCTCCTCTTTTAATCCAAAAGATATTTGAAAAAAAAGAAAAAAAAGAAAAAAAAAGAAAAAAAAAAAAATCCGGTAGAACCAATACTTTCATCGGGAAACACATTCAAATGAAATTATTCACACTTTTTTTCTTTTTTTTTTTTTTTTTTTCTTTCTTTTTTTTTTTTTTCTTTTACTAGTTCACCGTGAGCAAGTAACGTTTGTTGAGATGGCGGCAGCATAATATTCTTAATCAATTATTTTGGAGAGCACTGACCAAATTAAATCCAGCTCCACCTACACTCCACCAAAATGCCCACACAACGACTCTCTCGTTGCTGAACGATTCCTTGAAATCCGTCCATAAATATTTGATGACTTTTGAGGCAGTGTGATCGTTGGTTCTGAGTGAGCTCGCGGATACTTGGTCGGTTTTTATCTGTTTCGAAATACGAAAGAATAAGTCAAAATTATCAAACGAAGCAGCCGTTTATCTTGGAATAATGATCATGGTACAATGACGAAACTAAAAAAAATATCACACGTCTCGATTAGGGAGTTTAAAAAAATTCCGCTCTGACCTTGTTTATTACTTTTCCAGGCAACGAGTCAACTTTATTCCTTAAAATTCTCACAGAGTATTCTTCAAACGAATGAAACAAAGCACAAAGTATGAGTGGACACAAGATTCCCAATTTAATAGAACTGAATATAAAAAATGACATGGATACGCATGAAGGAAAAAGAACAGTTGTATTATAACAAAGATCATTATGAATTGCAGATCCTACCGACTTTTCTACTAGTTATTACAATGTTGCTTTTTTCGTGACATTTCGATCGGTCTCAGTAACAATGTCGTCAGTGGCGTGGTGTGCCTCGAGATGTATCGAATGATCTGCCGTTTAAACCTATGGAAAAGGATCGTGGACGGGGAGTTCGCGACGAACACCTCAATAATCGATTCTTTACCACAGCTTCAAATATGGGGAAATATCGATAATCGACCACTCACGCCTCGCCACTAAATGTCGTCTCTGTCAGCATTGTTACTGAAACCGAAAGGACATAGTCACATCAAAAAATACAATATATCTGCAACTAGAAAAGTTATTAGGAACTATTATATGAGTGTTGTAAGGACAACGATTCTTTTGTTTCCTCGTCACCATTTTCAAAACGATGATAATAAATCTATACATACAGTTTTTGCGAGATATATATATATATATATATATATAAAATGAAAAGACATGCTGCGAAAACTTCACTCACAGGATGTGATAAAGTTTCTGCCTTAACGGTGAATACATCGATTGCACCGTATGATTGTGCTTGGCTCGGCTGTAGACCTTCAGCTTCAGTTTTTCGATGGAAGTAAAACGTGTGCTTCACCGATGGTAGAAGCAACGACACAAGGGTTGCTGTTGTCATACCTATTTAGAAAATCAAAATTAATATTTTATTGTGACTTTCTAAGGTAAAAGAACCGGCGTATCTGAAATACGTTCGTATCCAAGAAGTGCTCAGCAGTTTTCTATGTAAGCGCGCTTTGAAGTTCCCCGTAGAAGATGAGCAATGTTGAGATTCAAGAACTCGCTCACCAGCCACCAGCGGGCCGATTATTGAAATTTTGTGTTTTTCGGGCGGACATGGGTTAAGCGGCGCATCGATTTTTGTGGGCTATGTCTTATCGCTGCTTAATCGTGCCTTTGACAGGTGGAATTCACGACAAGCTAAGGCCCCTCTTGAGTTCCCGACAGTATGCCGTCTATTCCAAAGGCAAAGGCCAAAGGCAAAAGCCAAAGGCAAAGGCCAAAGGCAAAGGCCAAAGGCAAAAGCAGCGATAAGACACAGCCGACCAATCACGTCGCCATGTTCGCCAGGCGAACACAAAATTTCAATGATCGGGCCGCAGTACGCTAGAATTCAAGAGGCAGGTTGATTTTAAAAAAATCGCTTCTTGTTGACTGAGCGCTCAAAAAGACAGACTATAGCGCCGAAAAATTTATTAGCCAAAAATAATAAAATTTGTCCAAACCGCGACTTTCTACGTTCAATATTAACCGAGATATCAATCGTTTTCATCAATCAGTGTGACGCACATTTGTACCGGTTGTTTAACGTGAAACTTAGATGAAAGCAAGGTGGAAGAAACCAAGAGTGCCACTACCACGGTGGATGATGGCAACAACCCGACTTTTCAAAGGCCGATATCTCAATTTATATTGAACGTGGAAAGTCGCGGCTTAGATAAAACTTATTATTTTTAGCCAATCTACAATAATCTAGCATCAAAACACGATTCTGTGACCAGCACAACTGACCCCGTATTCTTAGGGAAACTTTATATGGCAATTTTAGCGTAAGCAAAATTCCCGGAATTAAGAGACCGAACTTGAGTCTTAATTGAGACAATTACAACTTTGAGTCTTGATGAAAAGTGAACCTCGGATACAAACTGATATCGTTCACCAAGTTTTGAATCTCCCTTTTTCAAATTCGTAAATTTTATCATAATACAGACTTGTAAAAGCAATCCCTATGAGAGAGGGCCAGGGATTTTGGACCGTTCTATTCTTCTGAAGTAAAAAATTCTCACCGAAAAAAGTTGCTTTCAAAAATTCTGAACAATCTTTTTTCATGGATCACACCATGAAAAATTTCTCGATAAACCATCGGCTGGTCGCAAATCCTATCAAAAACCGAATCACGCTTTATGAGTCTGGAAAGTTGCAGATTGTTCATTTAATGACATACCTGCTATGCTCATGTAGACGAGGGGTAATTTACTGGAGTTGGTACCGGCTTGGTGAAGAGTTACGAAAACCTGAGACGAAAAGCCGCTCAAGAATTTCCCAGACAGAACGGCGGCTCTCACGTAGCCCGTTATTTGGTTATAAGTCGTTTTGTCCTCAATTTTAGCGTACATGTAGGTGTAGAGAACGGAGTCGGACGAATAGAAAAACGCGAAGAACATTTGTTCGACCTAAAATTCAAACAACTTTGAAAAAAGAACTAAATGATTAAAAATAATCCATGAAGTGAAGCATTAAAATCGTTAAAATTTATTTAAAATAAAAATACGCGTACGTTTAACTCTTGCGTTTACGGCTTACGCTTTAATTCTTGGCCTGTTGATTTTTCATTCTAGATATCTACAAACACACAACTTAAAATTTACTGAGCGTATGAGTAACAAATATTCTAAAAAATTGAAAAAAAATGAGTAACGAAGATAAGACTTTAAATCCCTCCAGCAGAAGAAATTTTATCTCACAATAAATAACAATCAAGATAATCAGAATATCGACGAGGCATTCCTCTAAGACCAAGAAAATATTAAGGAAAAAATGTCAAGTTCACTCCTAAAAACATAATTTTAAATTAATATTAATCTATAATTATTTATATTTACCCCCAGAACCAAAGAAAATCAGCAAAAAAATTCGCCGATATACCGTGCTACTGTTTAGGGAGGGAGAACATGAGACAGCCGGTAAGTATAAAGATTCCTCCAAGCTAATTGAGATAGCTGGTAAATTTCTGGATTCGCCTTAAGCTATGTAATATTGTCTCGTCAGAGAGGGGAAATATTTCAGAGGGGGTGGGGGAGTTTCGAATATGGGATTTAATGTGCTGATAATCACCTGGATCATTTGAAGGGACGGTCTCCCGATCAGAAGAACGTAAGTCATGACTCCCGCAACTCCATCAGCGATGACAATAGGCTTGTAGCGCAATAAATCCGTCACCAAAAACACAACGATAACGAGAACTAAACTGGCGTAAGTCGAGATCACCAGGATGTCTTGAACGACCTAAAGAACCGAGGAACACAGTCTAGAAAACTTTTAAAAATGTTGGGCTGCCTTCTGGTAAGTCCAGAAGAAGAGCACTGTGCAATGGTAAAACACTTTTTCTAAACACATTGAAAAAAGCGGTAGAAAAATCAATTAAAAAATCGGGTTTTCAGATCGGTTTTTGAAGAGAGAGCCTCCCAAAATTTCGCCCCTTTTTCGGTATTCGATTCGACCATCGAACCAAGGTTTAAGTGGAAGCTCATAATAACAGAAAACTCAGGAAAAAAGTTCAAGATGAGTACAGGAACCGTTTTCGAGTTACGGGTGAGCAAAGGGGTCAAACTCCGGCCTTATTCTTCGCTATATTCTTGTTGAATTGATGTGTCTACGGGGTTGATATCGTTGTTTATACGCATGTATTACACACCAGTTCTTACGTATTTCAAGAAGCAAAATCTAGTCTCAATGTTGACGAGTCGATATATCGATCGGTTAAATCGAATTTTTAAGATTCCTTAAAGTAAATCGACGATTTTTTGAGATTGACATTGTTCATTTTTGATTCATGGATGACTAAATGCATCTAATATGACTGGAGTACACCGAAGCCTACGTATTTTTTTCTTATAGAATCGATTTTTAACTTTAACGAGTCGATATATCAATCGCTTCTATCGAATTTTTGCAATTTTTTTAGGAAAATCAATAATGTATTAGTATTGTAATTGGTTAATCTCCATCCGGGAACAACCAAATTTTGGGTTTGGACAAATTTCCGGTCGAGTCGATTTCCAGTTCAGTCAAGTATTCGATTGGGGCACATTTCCAGTAAAGTAGAAATTTAGATTTTCGATTTCCGGTCAAGTGAAATTTCGAATGGATAATGAATCCCGTTGATTGTGATTTCCGGTCGGTCAGATTTCCGATCGAATCAAATTTTCAGTCGAGTCGAAGTTTCGACAGAGACACGTTACCGGTTGGAAACAGTTTCCAGTTGGGTTAATTTCCGGTCACGTCAGATACGGATGGATTACGATCCCAGTGAATTGGAATTTTGGGATGGGTCAAATTTCTGGTTGTATCGAATTTCCAGTTAGGTCAAGTTTTCGATTGGAGCACGTTTCTGGTCGAGCAGAGTTTACGGTTGTCGATTTCCGGTTAAGTAAAATTCGGCCGGACGATTGGTCGATTGATTTGAGTTTCCGGTGGGTGAGATCACCGGTTGAGTAAAGTTTTGGTTAGCATTGTTAGATCAGGTTTTCGGTCGAGT